CCTTGTCCTAGGCTCTGAACGTTTATTATTGCATTTCCTCTTTACAATAACCGTAGGAGATAACCATGATTTTCTCCCTTTCGTGGATGAGGGTTGAAGCACACTGCAGACTCAAAGCCCCTCCCCAGGGCTCTACATCTACCGTAAGGCCACCCTGGGCAGACACTTCTCCTTTATAGAGCAGGGAGCCTCTGACAATGCAAAGGTCAATGTCAGATAATTTTTTTTTTCTTTTAACAATCGTCACTCTGGATGATGCTGGAGTGGTGTGTGTGTGAGGAGTGTTTCCTAGAGAGACATTCATGACAGTTCTTAAGGTCAGGGGTGGTGTGGCTGGAGCCACATCTGTGAAATCTAATTGCCAAGATTCCCCCTCTTTCAAAAGAGTAGAGCTCCCTCTTCTCCTTGCCAGGCTCTCTGTTTCCGGAACTTTGGGCTTTACTCTCTAAGAGTTTCAGATGTGTTGAAACTCTGTAGAATTCAGGGGAAATCTTGCTGGGTCAGAGCCTGCACAGTTATCCCTCTGGGAGTTTCCAGCTTTGTGTGGGCTCAATATCAACAATTTTTGTTCGAGAAGCTCTAGAACTGGCCCAAGACCAATGTTACCCTGGCCAGGCCGTTGGTGATAAAACTCAAAGGTTGTACTTCTATAAGAAGAAAGAGAAATTGTCTCAGCCACAGGCAAATGACAGATGTGTGCAGGAGTTTTACATTTGCCATCTCATTCGGCTTTCACATGGGAGATAGAGGATAGTATCCCCATTTTAAAGAAGGGAGAACTGAGTTGGCCAAGGTCACCCAGAGCATAGTGGAATTGGGAGAGATTTTTCTTTTCAAAGCCCACTCTTCATTGCTGTGATTCCTTGCTAATTATCCAGCTGAGACACAGGATCATGTTGCAGTATAAGAACATACCAGACTAGCTGGGATTAAATTTTGGCCCGACTGTGGGCTAGTTACTTAATCACCCCGAATCTCAATTCCTCATGCATGAAATGAGGCTGAAATTACCAGTGTTTGCTTCATAGGGCTCTTATGAGTTTTCAATGGGTTAATATGGGGGGAATGATTAGAACAATGTACATGACATAGTGTCAGTTATTTTAATCATATAACTTGATTTAAGAAATGCACTGTTGTTTTAGCAGGTATATAGTGTACACTAGGGGAAGGAACATAATTTTCAGACAGCAAATCAGACTCTGTGCTGGGTGGGTGCTTCAGACTCACAACCCATTTAGAGTGCTGCACAGTCCCATGAGTGAAACATTCAACAGATGAGGAAACCGAGGAATAAAGAGTGTGCAATGTGACTCATGTTGCTCAGCTACAGAGTATTCGAGCTGGAACTCAAACCCCAGGCTGACACCAGCACTTCCACTTTTGCCTCTGTCATGGTGGCCAATGCCACTGGATGAAAAAGAAGAGCCCAACAAGAAAGCATGTGTTGGAAAGCACATACATGTGACTAGAGGACCACCAGGGAGGGAAGGGCTGCCATCTTACTCGCATTGCCTTGTTTTACAACTACATTATTTCCTGATCTAGTCCTCTGTACATTTAATTGTGATTAATACTGAAAATTAAAATGCACAAAGCACAAAGGAACCTGGCATTTCAGGAGGCTACTGTAATTGATTCAGAATTTGAAGACATTCATCTATATTTGTTGTTTATTGTCTTCCTACTATATGCTGGATCTGGGGGTTAGAAAGTTAATGGAGGAGTGACACGAAGATTAAATAATGACACACTGAATGGCATGTGCACAAATGATTATAAGCACCATTAAAGAGAGCTGGGCCGGGCGCGGTGGCTCAAGCCTGTAATCCCAGCACTTTGGGAGGCCGATACGAGTGGATCACGAGGTCAGGAGATCAAGACCATCCTGACTAACACGGTGAAACCCCGTCTCTACTAAAAAATACAAAAAACTAGCCGGGCCAGGTGGCGGGCGCCTGTAGTCCCAGCTACTCGGGAGGCGGAGGCAGGAGAATGGCGTAAACCTGGGAGGTGGAGCTTGCAGTGAGCTGAGATCCGGCCACTGCACTCCAGCCTGGGCGACAGAGCGAGACTCCGTCTCAAAAAAAAAAAAAAAAAAAAAAAAAAGAGAGCTTGATGGCATTTAAAGGGGTAGATGGTAGTCTGGTCTGATCTAGCTAAGGGCTCAAGATATAGCATGCAGAAGTCTAAAGGAAGAAGAGAAGGAGAGGATGAATGTCACAGAGAGAAAGAACAGCATTTGCAAAGGCTTTATGGCAGAAGAATCATAGACTATTTGAGGAACTGAAAGATTCTCTGTGTCTAGAGCACAGAAAAAGTGGGTTAAAGAAGTTCAAGATGAGGTTGGAAAGGCAGGAAGGGGCCAGAATATGCAGAACACTGGTGATCACATAGAATCGGTCTTTGTTCTAAGAGGATGGGGAGGAATTCAGATTTAAAAAATTAAGACTTTTTTTACAGGGGCTGTAAAATTGCAAGTAATCTGTTTAGGTTATGATTAACACAACATCATATCATTGTATTATATACTAACATACGGTTAGTACCCATCATATTGTGAAGGTATGACAAACAGCCTTCAACTTACCTCCAATTCTGAGGATAATTAATGGCTATGGGAATAATGTGTTGAGACTCAGTGGGTATATCAGGATGCAGTAGGAATGAATACTATTCTCCATTAACAATATAAGCCTGGCCGGGCACGGTGGCTCACGCCTATAACCCCAGCACTTCGGGAGGCTGAGGGGGGCAGATGGCTTGAGACCAGGAGTTTGAGACCAGCCTGGCCAACATGGTGAAACCCCGGTTTTACAAAAAATACAAAAATTAGCCAGGTGTGGTGACGCATGCCTATAGTCCCAACTACTTGGGAGGCTGAGGCATGAGAATTCTTGAACTCAGGAAGCAGAGTTTGCAGTGAGCCAAGATCATGCCACTGCACTCCAGCCTGGGCTCAAAAAACAAAACAAAACAATGTAAACCTGGAATGGACTGAAGCTGCATGTTCTAACTGTGGCTGCATAAAGCAAAGGGGCTCTGTCATCAGACTGCCCCAGGTCAGAATCACAGCTGTGCCACTTGGTATCTGCTGGAACTTGGGCAGTTTACTTAGTAACTCAGAATCTCAGCTTCCCAAGCTGTAAAATAGACACAGAAGCGCTCACCTTCAAGGGACTTTGTGAGGATTATTGGAGTTGAAATGTTTAACAATTAGGCACATGATGGACTTCATAATAATAAACTATCTTAGTGTATAAAGAGAATTTGGAAGTATAATCATGGAATCTTTAAAGTTGGACCTTAGGGTAAGTGGGAAGGAGAAAACAGAAAGGACAACTTATTTCACCTTTTCTCAACATAAGTTGTCTTTAAGTATGAGTACTACACAATAGACCTTTACAAAAACAACCAAGAGGGCAGGTTTATGTTCTGCATTCATTCACCAGGTTTGGTAAATGAGCTACCCATTCACCCCGGGAGTATAAGAGGTTATTAAACTGTGTCACCAAAAGACAGACAGACTAGATATTGGACACTTGAGCAAATTTGAAAGCTGTCCATCCAAAATTTTAAGCCACAAAAAGGAAATAGCCACAAATAGGAAAACCATTAGATGACTTGCACACATTGAAGAGATGAGAGAGTTGGGATGCTGAAGATTAAGAGGATTTGTGAAGAGGATTTCTTCAGAAAGAGGTGTTAGTGAATGGAGTCTCAGATAACTCCCGGGTTTTAACTTTTTCAGGCATAGTGCCAGGTACAAAGTTGATATTCAATAAGCATTTATTGAATGAATGATTGAATGAATAACTGATATATGACTATAACCTGAAATAGGTAAGAAATAGAAAAAGAGCATTAAGTGTCTTTAACCTTGAGGTAAGAAATACATATAAATTATAACACATAAAATTAAGAAAATTGGCTGGGGGCAGTTGTTCCCACTTGTAATCCCAGCACTTTGGGAGGCTGAGGTGGGTGGATCACAAGGTCAGGAGTTCGAGACCAGCCTGGTCAGTATAGTGAAACCCTGTCTCTACAAATAATACAAAAATTAGCCGGGTGTGGTGGCTGCACCTGTAATCCCAGCTACATGGGAGGCTGTGGCAGAAGAATTGCTTGAACCTGGGAGGCAGAGGTTGCAGTGAACTGAAAGCATACCACTGCACTCCAGCCTGGGTGACAGAGTGAGACTTTGAAGAGTATGGAGTAAAATTATAGAAGACTAGGAATAGTTTCTCCTTTACAAAAAAAAACAGCTGAATTTCAGAAATGATAAACCTGTGCCATTAATTTTGGCAAAACACTAAAGCATATTTCTAAACAGTTAGTCATGAAAGTAGTCCTCACCAGGAGCTAGTATTTGTCTGCTAGGGTTACAAGAGTAGCCTGAATAGGAACATACTAAAAATAATGTATTCTGATTTTAGGGAGAGATTTGATAGTTGTGTAACTGCAAAAATGTGGTTGCAATGATAAGACAGCCATAGTTGTAGTTTGTAATTACCTTACCCAAATTCTCTCATGGCAAATTAGTCTAGATGGGATCCCTAGATTCAGGACGTAGAGTAGTGGTTTGCCGTCCTGGTCAACTCTTAAACAAGGAAACTTTTACAACACATCAATATCTGGCTCCACGCTCAGAAATTTAGATTTTGTTTGTCTGGTATGGACTCCAGCCATTTGAATGTTTCAAAAATTCTCTAGTGTTCTAACATGCAAAGTTTTCATCACTATTTTCTTAATGTTCTATTCTTGGCCATAGCCTTTACAATATATTTTTAAAGAACATATTGAATGAAGACAGAAAAGCTGCTTGTGTTGTGTTTGTACATGAGTCAAAACTAGAAAATGATGAAATTAAGCCTGAAATGAGCAAACAAATGAAAACCTTCAACAAGACAGAAAAATAAGCAAAGACACTCACAAAGTAAAATGTCTTGTTACAGAGATATTTTGCTAATGAAATGAGTCAACACATAGAAAGAACTTACAGCAGAATTAGGCACACGCACACTCAGTACATTTAGCACACCAAATCCTGCTCACCGTAGGTCAGCATTCTCTTCATGTTAGAGAAACGAAGGTACAAAGGATGTGCCCTTCTAGCCTAAAATCATGCAGTAAGCTGTGAACCTGGGCTTCAAACCCAGTCCTGACTCCAGGGTCCAAGTTCTTATTTACTATTCTGAGTGTTAGTATGAACTTTGATTTTTAGGACTGAAAGGGATGTTAGAATTTACCTCAGACATTTTAGAGAGAAAAATTGAGGTTTGGAAAAGTGAGTCATTTGCCCAAATGCACACAGAGAATGGAAGAAGAAGAAGAAGAAGAAGAAGAAGAAGAAGAAGAAGAAGAAGAAGAAGGAGGAGGAGGAGGAGGAGGAGGAGGAGGAGGAGGAGGAGGAGGAGGAGGGAGGGAGGAGGAGGGAGGGGAGGGGAGGAGGGAGGGAGGGGAAGGGGAGGGGTAGGGGGAGGGGAGGGGAGGGGGGAGGGGGAGGGGAGGGGTAGGGGGAGGGGGAGGGGAGGGGGAGGAAAAGGAAAGAAAAGCAAAGGAAGGGAAGGGAAGGGAAAGGAAGGGGAGGAAAAGGGGAAAAAAGGAAAGAAAGAAGCCAGGTCCTGTGTTTAGGGCCCTTTCCAAATCAAAGGAAATCTGGGAAGGTTCTAACTTACTCCAGGGAAAATGAGTGCATCAGTAGGGAAATCCACAAGAAAGCTTTGAGAAATGCTCTCAAAGAGGTTCTGACTCTCACAGGTGGTGCTAGACGTTTCTCAGGAATCCTGAGATCAGTGTAGGGGTCAAATTTCTCCCCCTCGCAGCCCCATGCCTGGACTAAGACTTTTTTGTCTTGTTTGGCTTTGTTCTGTTTTGCTTTGTTTTAGAGGCAGGGTCTCACTCTGTCACCCAGACTGGAGTGCAGTGGTGCCATCAGGGCTCACTGCAGCCTCCACCTCCCAGGCTTAAGCCATCCTCCCACCTCAGCCTCCCGAGAAACTGGGACTACAGGCACACACCACCGTGCCTGACTAATTTTTTTTTTTTTTTTTTTTTTGTAGGGATGGTTCTCCCTATGTTTCTCAGGCTGATCTCAAACCTTGGCTTCAAATGATCCTCCTGACTCAGCCTCCCAAAAAACTGGGATTACAGGTATGAACCACCATTCCTGGCCTAAAGGTTTAATTAAAGAGGTGAACTCCCATATCAAGGAGAGTGTTAACAGGTAAGAGTTGAAGTTTGTTTTCTCTGGCATAGGGAAATCCTGACCCAGAGATATGGAGAAGGATATTGAAGATGTTTTATACCAAATTATAAAACCTTGGATTAGGAGATTTCAGAAGACTCTTGCCACATGAAAAAAACTCTTAGTCCTGGAGAGTATGCTCCAGTGATTTCTGGGCATCCCCAGGTAGAATCCCACATGTACTCATGAACCAGCTTTGTTGGCTACTATGTTGCTTTGACCCCATTTTTCCTTTTTACTTTTTTTTTTTTTTGTATTTTTAGTAGAGACAGGGTTACTTTTTTTTTTAATTATACTTTAAGTTCTAGGGTGCATGTGCACAACGTGCAGGTTTGTTACTTATGTATACATGTGCCATGTTGCTGTGCTGCACCCATTAACTCGTCATTTACATTACGTATATCTTGTAATGCTATCCCTCCCCCCTCCCCCTCCCCACAATAGGGCCCAGTGTGTGATGCTCCACTTCCTGTGTCCAAGTGACCTCATTGTTCAAGTCCCACCTATGAGTGAGAACATGCGGTGTTTGGTTTTCTGTTCTTGCGATAGTTTGCTGAGAATGATGGTTTCCTGTGGCACATACACACTATGGAATACTATGCAGCCATAAAAAAGGATGAGTTTGTGTCCTTTGTAGGGACATGGATGCAGCTGGAAACCATTTTTCCTTTTTTGTTAAACTCATTCTCCATAATGAAGCTGCCTCACTCAATAGTGAGCATGGAGATCAAATGAGATAGCACATAGGCACTCAATAAATCAAAATTTGTTGCAATAATGCCATTAATAATGAAGAAAAATAACTCCACTAGTCGCTTCTGCTATTTTAAACTAGATGTCCACTGGAGTCAAGAGAGACTAGAATAAACTACTAAGGAATATTTGAAGGGAAAGACAATCCTTTTCTATCGATGACAGTGATTCAGGCTTCAAAGGCAGGAGGATGACCCGGTCTGGACACAATAACAATTCCAGGCACAAGCTGCTATCTGCTGCAGGCAGGATCTCCTAAATGGAGTCCTGGTGGACACCTGTCCTAAAAGCACCCAGAGCCCACACTGCTCCAGCCTGCACCTCTCACCTCCAGCCACTTTGAAGAATGGAGATAAGATAGTGATCACTCCAGAGTGCACGCTGAGGCTCAGGGCCTGTGCTACATGCTCCAAGTATGTGACCTTACTGAGCCCTCACAGCAATTGGTATTATAAAGCCAATACCCTTTACAGAAGGAGAATATATGAATTCAAAGGAGTTAAATACCTTGCCCAAGGAACAGTCCATTTTCTGACTCTAAGACACATCCTTAACTCCTCTGTACATGTCAGGAATTTCTGGTAAATATTTTTTACCTAGACCTGCAAGAAGGACCCCTTCTCCTCTGCTCATCTGCTTAGACCATAAAATGATCCCTACATTCTGGCCTCCTAAGAGTCTAGCCTGGCTGCTTTGCCTTCTCCCCTCGTGGGAGTCTTTGTGAAGAATGGATTTAGCTTCTTGGCTCTGCAGCTTTGCTTCTGAGCCAGAGGACTCACATGACTCCAAGTGTCAAGTCCCAGGGACACCAGTGCAAACACCAGCTGCAGCTGTGACTCTTTTTGCACACACTGTTTTTGGAGGAGCTCTCACCCACACTCTGAGAAACTAAGCACACTATTCACTTTCTGAAGGGTACTGAAGGAACATCTGGGGTCATCCTGCATTGGTCAATATGCCTATATCTCTGCAGCAAAAGGCAAGCTCTCCTCACCCTTCCAAGCACAGAAATGCCTGCTGTCAGGGAGAAAACTTCCAACAAGAGCTGGTGCTTTTGGACTGTACCAGATCTCTCTATCCCAGCTGATTTTCATAATTTCCTCTTCCTGAAATGGAGGCAGCACTCGCCAACGTCTATGCTTCTTGCTGGCAAGAAGATATAGTCTCAGCAGAACCTGCATGCAGCACTTTGGGGAAGAAAACTTGAGTATTTTCGATATCTATCCTGAAGGCTCAGTGTCCAGGTTTCCATGTAGGTCCTTGAAAGGCATGTCTAATAGAGCTGTGTACTACGTGTGCCTCAAGCTCCAAAATCCTGTGTCAGCAGCTTGAGATGACATCTGCTACTTGCTTAAAACCTCACGTCCTTCTTGAAAATATTAGCCCCACTCTCACATTAGTTTAAGATCCTCATCAGAGAATTTTCTAAAGAGCCTATATTAGGGATTTCACAGGAAGATATCCTCGATCTTCCTCTGTAATGCATCTCAATTCCTTATAACCTAACCTAAATACAACAAACCAAAATAATTTTGAGATCGGACAGACTGAAGCTGAAATTACCCAAAATGCCACTGGTCAGGTTTCCTGGAAACAGACTCATCGAGGGAGATTTGTGCCAGGTGTTTTTTGGAGAGTGCTCTTGGAAGCAACATCTATAAGGGACCAAGGGAAACAGGACTGGGCAGAGACAGTTGAATAGAATGAAACAGAGGTTTAAGCTGATCCCGTGGGGGAGCTCTGAATCTCGGTTGGCCTTTCAGAGATGTCTCAGATTAACCTCTCTGATCTTTGTATCTCTGCACAGACCAGCTTCCAGGGAGGGGGTTGTGTGTAACCTTGGACAAGGCAGTTACCTTTGGTAAAGAGAGCAATTTTCAAAGAGGAACTTACCTATGGGCCATCAGCAAGCAATGTTTGCAACCATGGGGGGGCACTGAATGCCTTTGTTTTAAAGGGGGGGATTTAGGTGCACACCACAGCATCCACTGCACAAGCAAAATCTCTCACTCTCTAGGAAGCAGAGGCCTAGAGAAAAGTGGATGGCCCAGGGTCACACAGCAAGGTGATGGAATAAAAAACAGCATGGACTGCTATGGAAACTGGGAGCATTAAAACAAAACAAAACCAAAAGGAAAAACAAAAACAAAACTAAAACTAAAAAAATACACTAGAATTGCAATGACTGTAAACCTCAAAACAATGTTTTCCCTCTAATATCAATACACCTATTGTTTGCTGAGCATATCCTATTGTGCCAGGGGTACATTAGTTAATATATTAACTAATCAGATGGAACCCCATAGAGTAGGTATTATTGCCCTTATTTTGTAGCTGAGGAAACAGGTCTCAAATGTATTTAGTAGCCTAGCAAAGTGCCTAGCACATGTTAAACATCCGTCTGTCTCCAAAGCCTGTGCTTATAACCCACATCTTCCTCTCTACGATTTACCTAGGAGCCTTCTCTCTACCATTGTAAACTAGGCTATCGCCCCAATCATCAACAGTTTAAGAGAGGAACAAGTCACCATTCTCTGCCCAGCAATCCCTCACTGTCATGAGAACTGCTATTTTTTATCACCATTTGTGATTCCTTTCTAGTCCACCACCATTCTTATGCTGGCTTCATAAAATGAATTTCTAGCTTATCCAGCCGAAGGCCCATGGATCGCAACCCTGTGACTAAACATTCTTCCAAGCATACAGCAAATACTTATTGAGTGCACACTATGTGCTGGCATCCTGCTAAGCACTTTGCACTCATTCTCTCATGCTACCCTATGAGGCAAGTATTTTGATTCCTACCTTGTAGATGAGAAAAACAGAGGTTTAGATAGTGCAGTCACTGACCCAAGATCACGTAGCCTGGATTTACATGCAGATCTGTTTTGCTTTGACAAAGCTGTGTTCATTCATTCTCTGTTATTAAGCAAATATTTATTAAATGCCTACGCACAATCCAGTACTGTGCAGAACTGCACTGGAGATAAAGCTTCACTCAGGACATATGCTCTCATTCCTTGCCTTTGTGGCAGTTGCATTCTAGAGGAAGAGTCACAAATACAAAGGCCTCCAGGGGCTTTGAGTTAAGTGGATGGGTGGGGAGTGCAAGGGAGGGG